TATAACACTTACTCCAAACTGAGGATTGGGTAAGAAAATCAAACGTTATCTTCAAGGGAAAAGACTCTCAGAGACCCAGGTCGATCTCTAATTCCTCCAGAATGAAAAATTATGTACGCTAAATTAGTCACAGCCAAAACCACAGCACATTTAAATAAGAGTTCATAGCTTCAGTTGAGGCCAAAATAAGTTAAAATTGTCTGCTCTATTTGTTCATAATCTTTAGCATTTAATATGGCAAGAATGCAACTGTATTATATTACACAAATGCCTCTTCTCAAGATTTTTGAAAAAAAATCCTTCCAACATCCACATAATTTTAGATTTCAATAAACCTCATAGTTTCAAAGTATTCTTAAGAGGGGAATACAGGTACATACAGGAGCAGCAAGTTATCGGAACATTGAAAAAGCAGACAAAGCTGGTTTATTAAGAAATTATTAAAAATAACAACTTACACATTAAAACAATATCATGCCTACATCCTCCCAGCTTCAGTTTACCGCTCTCTACTCTTGTCTTCATTGTTATTCATAACAATAAAAAATTTCTCAGGCAATAATTACTAAATTCTAAGAGGCCCATGGCATTAACTCTAATAGATTTTTTTTCTCATTTTGGAACACTCCTGCACAAACCCATTGGTCCAGAAGCATGAGACAACGCAGATCCACAAACCCGGCAGCCCTCAAAGTAGGAAGCTCCTTGTACATGTGCCTCAGTTAATCGGGCATGTGTCGGTTAATATGACATTAAATCAGACTAAAAACATCTGTGCGGAGAATGGCATTAATGCCAGCAAATTGGAAGTTTCTCTGTCCTGTTTCACTGACAGATAAGTTAACTTTGTTGTACCTAGTAAATAAGTTTCTGATATGCAGAAGGGAACCAAATACAAGTTTCAACAATTGACTTTGATACTAATAAACATCCAAATTTAACCATCAGTCTGGCTGTCCTTTATCTCTTCTATGTATACCACTATAAACGAATGCCAATGTATGCAAGAAGAGATTTCTAAGCAGGTAAAACCCTGCACAGAATCTCTCTTTTTCCTTCCATCTGTGGGAATCCTTTCTTTAAGATTCTGCATTCTTTAAGATCTCAATCAAATCGCAAGTCCTACTAAAAAACCTCAACCAAAGCAATCAATACTCCACCTTCACCAGGAACCTGTTGCTTATAATTCTGATGACATTCATTTCATCCTTCCTTCAAGTAAATATGTTTATAAGTCTCCAGCTTAACAGCCTTTGCCTGGTCTTCACTACTTCTATCGAGAGACAGCAACATCTCACACACATAAGGCAAAAGCTACAAAAGTTGGGGTCTTCCTAAGAATTTTCATTCATGATTTTAAAAAACAGGTAAAAATGGACCCCTCTTTGTCTCCCACCAAATCAGCCCTTACTTCCTTGCTTTCTTATTTCTCCCAATGGCCAAAGCACTGAGACCTTACAGCACCTTTGAGTCTTCCTTCTCACTCACACTGACCAATCTTGCGTTAAGTACTCTGCAATATCTTTGCACTTGTTGCCACTACAAACGTCCTTCTTTAGTCCCTCTTTTGCGTTTATTGAGACTATTACAATAGGCTCCTAACTGGATGATTCCCATGATTAATAGTAAGATAGGCTCTAATTATAATAACAGTTTCAAAATACATGAAGCAAAGTAAGTGATGTGCACAAAACCTCAAGGTATAATTGGATATTTTAGTAATTCTCTATTAACTATTGATAGACATAGAGAAAATCAGTAAGGATATAGAAATCACTAGAGACAGAGAACATGGTGAAATAATTTGGCATAATTGACACCTATAGGACATTTCACAATAAATGTAGAATATAACTTATTTTATAGTGTACATGAAAAATTCATCAAGTTAGACCATATTTGGGGCCATGAAGCAAGCCTTGATAAATTTCAGAATATCAAAATCATGAAGAGTGTGTTGTATGACCACTAGAGTAGTAAGTTAGACATGAATAATAAAATATTCAAAAAACTTTCCACATAATTCAGTATGAAGCAAGCAGAACACTTCTAGAAAGAAAAGAAAGAAAGCCATGAGTCAAAGAAATCACAACAGAAACATTTTCCACTTCAATCTAAATTGTAATGAAAATACAACTTTGCGAAATTTGTAGAATACACTTGAGGTATTACTAAAATGAAAATTTATAACTTTAAATGCTTATATTTGGAAACAGACATTGAAATAAAGCTTCCAACTTAAGAAGCCAGAAGAAGAGCAAAAATGTAGTACACAAGGTAGCAGAAGATAAAAATAAGAGTGGAGATCAAAATACTATAAAAAAACAAAAAAATAAAGAGTAAAAAGTTGTTTCTTCAAAGATATTAAGTAAACATTCACCAAGACTTATAAAGAACAAAACATAGAAAACAAATTACCATTATCAGGGATATAATAGGAGGCATCACTATAGATCTTACAGAAATAAAAAATAAGATTATAAAAAATTATGCCAATAAATTTGATAACTTAGATGAAATAAAGAAATAAATACCTTGAAAGGCATAGATTAATAAAACTGACTCAATAAGAAATAGAAATTCTGAACAGCCACCTATCTATTAAAGAACGAGTTCAAAATGTAAAACCTTCCAAATATGAAAACTACCAGCTCAGAGAATTTATTGATAAATCCTATCATACATTTAAAAATAACAACGTGAACTTATTATATTATAGATAACAAGTTAGACCATAATAATAAACAGATAGAAATAAATAAATAGAAATAATAAACAAGTTTAATAACATTGTAGAATACAAGGTTAATATACTTTTAAAATATAACCATTTAACTATATTTCTGTATTACTGTATTTAACTATATAAAAATATAACTGTATTTAACTTTATTTCTGAATTACTGTATTTAACTGTAAAAATTTAACTGTATTTCTACATCCTAAAAACACTGTTGGAAATTTACATTTAAAAATGTCATTTAACATTATAAATCAGAAAAAAATTGAAACAAATCTTAAAAAGACATGTAAGACCTATTTTTCTGAAAACTAGAAAACATCCCCGAGAAAAGTTAAAGGACAACTAAATAAATGGACCAAGAAACCGTGTTTCAGGATTGAAAGATTCAATATTAAGATATCCATTCTCCTCACATTAACCTAAACATTCAACATAATCCTATCAAAACATCAGCAGATGCTTTTTAAGAATATGAGAAGCTGATTGTAAGATACATAAAGAAATTCAAATCTTCTGTAGATACAAAGCAAACAATACATTTTCATTAAATTCATAAAGCAGAAATAAAAGCAATCACCTTAAGAGACTACAAACATGATGGGCTTTTATGAAAAGTTGGGTATTTGAATATAATTATCTAAATGCACAAATATTCTTTTCTATTTCTCCCCCCCGACACTTTTATGTATTCATAGTACACTAATCAATAACCAAAGGAAGAAATCACTTTTAGGGTGACAACGCTGATGATGCTTACTAAAAGGAAAACTGGGCTGCAATCTAGTGCTAATTAGTGGGTATTCCTTAACCTGTATAGAGACTATACAGCGTTTTATCTGTAAGTTCCATGATTAGGTAGCACTGTGCTGTCCTTAACAAAACCACAAGGACATCCTCAGACTTCTGCTACTGGCACAGTTTACATCTTTCGATCACACTGGAGCATCACTGCTCAAAGAGCAGTTTGGGGACTTCCCCAGACTGCTCAATAGTCACACTAACATATTATTTGCCTTTTTTACACTCAATTTCCCATAAATGTGGAGCAGTTTTCCCAGAGGTTCCATGACATGTAATATAACAAGAGATTAAATGCAGAAACAAAACTGAAAATGCCGCTATCTTCTGAAACAGCAATGAAAGAGATTTACAAAAGTGCAAAAGTGCCACTTTTCAATATTTTTGTCTAGGAAAAGAGTTAAATTTCACTAATGTTTATGTTATATGTAATGGATTTATGTTACATGTACTTATTATTTTAAAGGAATATTTTTAATTCTTAGTTTTAATTTTTAATATGTTAAGTACTGATATACATAATACACAATAAAATTTTTGAGAACTCAAGCAGCTTTTAAGAATATAAAGTGGAACTGATACTAGAAAACTTGAGAATCGCTACCACACAGTAATGGACAATTTTAAGTGGCACATAAAGAATAACTGACCACTAAAATGAAAGAAAAGGGGTTACCATGTGTCCATACTTCATTTTCTGTAGTGGGACACTACAGTAAGTCTCTTTCTGTATCTTAATTAAGTTACTAATGAAAGACAAGACCTCAGGCCAACACAACATAAGATACACTTAGGATCCCCACACATAATTGCAATTTTTCTTCTTCCCCTTCTTGAGGCATCTCTAAAATAGGCAAACAAAAAAGCAGTTTTCTAAGTTTCTTGTCTAAATTTCAAGTTATGTATTATCTATATATTATACATATTAACTGTCCCCTGCTCTCCTAAACTCTTCTTTCCTCATTCTATTGTTTTCCCCATTGTGCTTACAGCCTTCTATTATATAATTTACCTAATTTTTATATTTTTTGTCTCCCACTCAATAGTAGGTAAACAAGAGTAAGATTTTTTTCTGATTTATTCACTCATGTATCCTCAGCACCTGTAACAGTGCCTAAGACAAAATAGTGGAAAAATAAATACTTGAATGAATTAATAGATAGCTATTTTACTGGAGTAAAATATAAATTTTACCAGGGGGAGACAAAGATGTCTTAGCAAATTAACACTTTCGAACGGCTGGTAGACACAGAGCAATGCAGACAGGAGGGATCTGGTAGCCGACCGAAAAACTCTCGGGACAGAACAGTTTTCCCTCCTGGACCCGGAGAGGAAGAAGAGATAAAGGAAAGGAGAATGAAGAAATAATCTTAACTGGAGGTAAGAGAAGTAGGTTTTTCCAATCCCAGATTCCAAGAACATAAACAAAAAAAAATAAGAACAAGAGCAGCAGACACACCTCTCTTCTCCCGATGTATTTCTTCCAGAAGCTGCTCCTGCCTTTCTATCTGATCAAAGAGGCACTGGAGCTCGGATTCCTTGTTCTCAGTCAGGTTCCTGAGTTGCTGTCTACACAGCATCAGCTCGTGCCGCAGACTTTTCTCTCTGTTTTCTCTCTCTTTCAGTTCCTCACAGAGCCACTGAAGTTTAGTCTAAAAAATGACATTTATAGTTAATTAAGAAAAAGAAACAAGACAGAAATCTAAAAAAAGCAGTATTTCAAAATAGTAGGAAAAATAATATCATGATAATATGAACAAATACAAACAACAACTAACAAATTTAGGCAAAATAAAAAATACGCAATCATTCATACCAGTTCAAAGTTGGTGTGAAATCAAGCCATGATTTTTTGGATTTTTATAAAAATATGGTTTAATCTATACTCTTTGACAAGGCGGTACTACAGAAAAATTTGGCCTACTAATTAAAATTCCAATCAATTTGGCCCACTAATTAAAATTCCAATCAGAATAAAATTAGCCCCCTAATTTACTATATAAAGCAGTTTTGTAAAGCATGTAAAAATCAAAACCACCCTGGAATAGGACTAGAAATTCCCTATAAAAAGATTTTTTCCTTTAAACCATGATTTTTTAAAGATTGTATTTAGTTTTAGACAGTGAGGAAGTGTGGGAGAGAGGGAAAGAAATATCAGTGTGTGGTTGCCTCTCCCACGCCATCTACTGGGGACCTGGCTGGCAACCCAGGCGTGTGCCCTGACTGGGAATCGAACCAGCAACCCTTTGGTTCACAGGCTGGTTCCCAATCCACTGAGCCACACCAGCCAGAGCTAAAAGGGGGTTTTACTGCAAAGAGTAAAAAAAATTTTATAGGTTTTTTTTAAAGATTTTATTTATTTATATTTAGAGAGGAAGAGAAAGAGAGAAGGAGAGAAATATCAATGTATGGTTGCCTCTCATGAGTCCCCTGCTGGGAACTGGCCTGCAACCCAGGCATGTGTCCTGACTGGGAATCAAACCGCAATCGCGTGGTTCTCAGGCCCGTGCTCAATCCACTGAGCTACACCAGCCAGGGCCTTTTTCTAGTTTTGTTTGCTAAAAATGCATATCCCCAGGATCTAGCCAATCGGGTAGAGAGAAAGACTTCAGGGAGATAAAGTCAGCCTTTCCCCACCTTGAAGAGATGATAAATTTCTATCGAAACAACTTTCTTTTTCACAGACTCTTAACCTCACCATCTTTAATATTTAATCCATTCTTGCCCAGTGATTGAATTTAGAAAATTTAGAAATTTACAAATTTAGAAAATAACTTCGTATTTCCCTTTTCTCAATGTTTTCTTACCTACTCCATCCCAATATTCGGCCTGTGTTCACTATCACCACTAAGAAGTGATAATGGAGAAACGGCAAATCTGTTTTGTTGTACAATAATCCTATTGGTTGTGGGGGGGGGACAATAACCCCCCCAAACCCATCTGATATGAAGAACTAATCAGGCTTGATATGTGTTGTTATGCACTGAATTGTGTGCACCCACAGTTCATATGCTGAAACCTCAAACCTCCATGTGACAGTAATGGTAGGCAGGACTCCTAGTGAGGTCATTAAGGTTAAACCACGTCATAAGGCTGGGACACAAGGGCTTACAGGAAAGCTTGCACTTCCTCACCTTTCTCTCTGACTTTGCCAAACCACCCGTCCCACCCCACCCATGCACAAAAGGTGGCAGTCTACAAGTCAGAAAAAGGATTTAACAGAAACCAGCCCTGACCCCTTGATCTTGGAGTTCTAATCATTAGAACTGTGAGAGAATAAATGTCTGCTGTTTAAGTTACTGCCCAGTCTGTGGTGTTTGGTTATGGCAGCCTAAGCCAACTAATACTGTAAATATAACCTATGGCTTCAGTTTATTCATATGAAACCTTTATTCTACTGCCATACAAAATTTAAAAACAGGTTATAGTTAGATGTTTGTTATAAATTGACTAAGTATACAGAATATACCATTAATCCTACAAAACAAAATAGGGTACCAAATTATGGGAATGTAATCAAACAATAATCAATTATGAGACTCTGTTAGAGAAACACTCAGCATCTTCATTAAGTAACTTGCCAAAACAGCTTGAAACACAGTACAGGAATAACTTTAACAACTCCAAATAATAATTAGCTGACAAGACTATTAATCACAGTGCCAACACTATTCTATTAACCACTCACGAGAGCATTGTGCAGATCACACAACAGGCTCATTTATTTAACTACATCAACAAGTATTGTTAAATAAACCAAAATAGAGAAAGAATTTCTAAATAAAGCAGTTTTTACCTTCATAGTTGACAGCTTGCAATTAGGTGGAAATACTTATCATGATCTAGTAAAACAACCAAAGTGGTCTTTTTAATCTATAAGAATATCATTACTGAGAGTTAGTGTAATAATACACTAGAGTCATAAAGGAACCACTCAAAGCTAAAAGCTAAGGCAAACAGCAAATTTGAACAAAAAAACTACAGCTAATAAAGTTAGCAATATTAGGACCTATAATTATGCTTAGCTTGCTTCAAAATTCATCTGCGCCATCAGCCTCCTTGCCAGCTTCTGTGTACCTCTATCAAAGCCCTTATACATAAAATATTGAAATTACTATGTAAGTGTCAGCTTTTCCAGACAAAATACGTCCCTGAAGAGATTCAAGTCTTAGTTTATTTTTATGCCCAGAGCATACAACAAAGCATGTGTAGGACACAGTAGTTTCTCAATAAATTCTCTATTAAAGTGAATAAAATTTGGCCTCGACATCCCCTGTCCAGATTCATCACAAAAACGAATCCCTAATCCCAGGGAACTCCTGGCCTGGCATTCCTTAACAAGCATCTCAACCCTCTTCCTCCCCATAATGTCTTCTCACCATTCATCGGCTATTTTATCTGTGAGCCTGGTCCCACTCTAAGGTGAAGTTCATGAGTATGTTATGCCAACAAAGCAATAGTGACACAACCCCCACTCAATCCTCTAGTTCTTTTAGGATTAACGCTAACAGAAGAAATTCATTTGGCAGATTTATGAAAACAATTACCAAAGGCCCTCACAGGTCCATCTAATACTGCAAGATGTCAGTACAGACTAACTGAATAGCAATTCTACTTTCCATATACTTTTTGTCCTTTGATTTCAGATCTTATCTTCAATACTTATAGAGCTGCCCACTCGTAGTTCATGGGAACTACAGTATTGTAGCCCATCAATAACCTAAGCCATTTTTCCAGTAAATAGATTCAATTCCTCCTTACTCAGCTGGTCAGTGTGGCATTGCTTATCGGGACCCTTTCACACTGTAGAGGAACCGTTGTCTCATACAGTGTTAAAACCCATCTGATCTGAAGTTCAACCCCATTAAATGATAAGGGAAGACTGCTCAGCAGCTCCCAAATTAAGGAGCTATGATTAAGAGTCATCTCTGGCACTCATAATTTAGCTGAACAATAGCAGTGAAAGTTTTCTGTTCAGAAATGATAAAGGTTTTAACTTGAAAGAAAATTCCAAGTATACTGCTCTTGTCAAAATGTGGAGTTGGGAAAAATAAATGAGAAATTCTTTATTAATGCATAACAGAGGTTTCTAGTCCAAAGATTCTGGGACAGCAAAACATGTGTATTATAAATTGCCTATGCAGGTGACATAAATGCTAATTTACATTTGGTTCTATCAAAAATGGTTAGGAATGCACAGGATCACTTTTCCTAAAGTAGGGTAGAAAATTCTACAAGGTTACATCACTTTCTATGTTTAACTATAATACTGTTAAGTTTCTCCTTCAGAATTTTTGAGGGGGGCTTCTCTAATGCATATCCGGCCTTCAAAGGTGAACCTGGTCTTTCCCACCTGTCTTACCCACCTGTCTCGGGCATTATCTGTGTTTATTCAAATACTGTCATCTTCTTGTCATTGTTTTACCTATAATTAGCCAACTGGAGAACGTGTACATATTTTTGTATGACCAAGTTTAAATACTGCATTTTTGCAGAAGCCTTCTGTGACCATCCCCCCAGAACAAACACCATAGTTCTTCTTTCCTGTGTTCTTTCATCAATGTTTACATATTTCTATAACAATATAACACACCTTAAGGAGATTTAAAATTTGTCAACATCACCATTCCCCCCATTAACTTCACTAACTTCCATGGCTTGCTAACACTTACATCCCCAGTGTCCACATACCAAAAGTACACCATCAGTAATTCTTGGCTGAAAGGAGACTTTGGGTGGCAATACACACAATGCAAAGAACATTAAGTGTGAATAGACATGGCATTTAATCTATTTTCCCATTATTCATATGGCACTGGAAAAGTCACATAGCTTCTCTGAAACCTCACTTTTCTCCTATTTTTAAATAAGGACAATGTACAAACTTAAAAGTTCCTTCTTGCAATAAAGTCCTGAGTTGGACCACAAATTGGTCATGTTTACAGTACTGATGGTTTTCTTACAGAATTTGAATGGGATGGAAGACTTTGCACATTGGTAGGTTAAAGCAGAAAAAAACTAGTCTAAAAAGGAATGCAAGTGCTTAAGTACTATTACTAGAACAAACATGTATCTCCATCTTATGGGGTCATGATTGTCTATATATTTTAATTTCTATACACTAGAATTTACAAATTGATTTATGAAGATAGCTGATAATTACTCAATGTGTAGAAAAATCTTTTGGCTAAGATTAGCACATTGTCCAATTTTACTTATATTTGCTTACCTTCCATTAAATCTGAATCATAGTTCCAAGGAACCAGGAAGCAGGGAAACTTATCTTCAGAACTTAAAGTCAATCCCTCCACTTTTGCAAACAAGGAAACAAGACACCCAGGAAGGTGAAGGGATTTGCTCAAGCCACACAAAGATTTGGCAGGCTCTGAGCTCCCCCACAGGAACCAAAACATGGTAATTATATATGTGTACAGAAGGTTGGTCACAGCTGCCCTGATCTTTGTACACTTCCAAGACGCTGCCTATCCCAAGGAAAAGGCACAAGAATTTGCCTCTCTGACAATCTAGCTTTAGCATTTCAACAGTATTATTGCCTTTCTTTATTCTTTCATCACACCCCTACACATTTTAAGCTAATTTTTAAATGTTAAGCTAAAGGAACATGCAGGTTTTTTAAATGCATTACGATATCTTTCCCAGCAATAAAGTACTACAACTTCATAAGCTCAGTTATGTGACAAAAATAGATGACTAGCCCAAATACAACACCTTGAAGCTCATAAATATTATGATAACCTTAGGATTCAAAGATTAATTACCTTGCTTTCTGCTAACCAGCGATGTGGGTCATAATTAATATCAGAACCAGGTGAAAAAACCTGAAAAGAAAAAGAAAATAGTCTATCAAAAGTAGATTTTTCTCTGAAATGAATTTACCTGCATTAAATTTTTCACAGCAACATGCAAAAGTTCAGTAGCTACACTTAAGGTTTTAAAAAGAAGATAGTTCATACCAAGTACTCAACCTATTCCAAAACACCGTTTATTTAACATGTCTATTTATGTAAGCATACATATGTATACATGTAATATATGTTCTGACAGCAAATATTTAGTTCAAGTGCAGAGACATGAATCAGCTCTTAGCACTATCATTGCTAGAATCTCTGGAGGCTGATTCCAGAGTTCTACATGTCAAGCAGCTCAATTAAACTAGTTTATCGCATTTTTTTTTGTTTCTTTTCTTCAGTCTTGCTCCACATAATGTCTTTCACAGTGGGCTAAATGTAATTACATGGAAACTTAATTCTTTGTCTCATTTATCCTTCTTTAATTTTATACTATCAGGGCCATTTTGTCTCATTAATGGTTGTGTAGAAATGACAGGAACTAATCAATGTAACTTCATGCAATCATTGCTTTATATTTCATCATGGTAATAAAATCCTACAATAAATAGGTTGTCTATTGTCAGCTGACCTGATTTCCTTCACACCAACTCATTTATAAAATCACTGTCATCTGGCTCTGGATTATTACTGATGAAACTGTACTCAAGGGTTGCCAATGATTTTACAATTGTAAATAAATTATTTTTTCTCAATTCCTACTTTTGTTGAACCTATGATATTTGCAAAGGGTTTTTTCTAGAAATGTTCTATTAAAAATATACTATCCTCTGCAAAGGATGCCTCTTCCTGTTCTCAAATACTTCCATACTTTCTGATGTGTGTACAGATCTGTCTCTCCCTTACTTAAGAAACAACATAATTCATTCAGACATATGACGAGTTCCAACCACACTGCACATACAAGACTGTTGTATTCTCATATCCAACCTTTCTCTCATCTACTCTTTCACTATAAACCTCACCTAACTCTCATACCCTCTCTCCCTGTCTTTACAATGAAATTTTCCCTAATCACTCTAGGGCAGGGGTGTCGAACTCATTTTCACTGGGGCCACATCAGCCTCACAGTTGCTTTCAAAGGGCTGAATGTAATTTTAGGACTGTAGGAATGTAACTACTCCTTAACTGGGGGCAAGGAGCTCAGCACTGCCACTGGGTAGAAACAAGGTTCCAGTCCAGATAAACAGGGTGGGGGGCCAGATTTGTCCCACGGGCCTTGTGTTTGCCATCTGTGTTCTAGGGCGTAGAAAAAAATTTGTCTTGATCCATTGCCTATTCTCTTTATGCTCTACACATAAATGGGAAAATCTCCTGAATTATCAAAGACTGACCTAAGAAATGACACATCTTTAATTCAGGCATTTTCCTATCTGTTTTATTATGGTGGTGGTGTGTTAAGTGTCTATCCTGAAGTTTTCAAACACTATAGGCATTTACTAAAGTAGAATAAGTAATAAATACAGTGGTTGGAAAAAGAAAATTGCAGTTAGAAATAACACCAATATCCCCAAGGACTTTCCCAGACTCATTTGTTACATATCTATGATTCAATCTATTCCATAGCACAGTCACTCTCTACAGAAAATGAGTGAAAATTTCATCAGCAATACTTCAGAAAGTTGACAAATGACAAGGAATAATTGGAATTAATCCATTTTTTAAAACATTTTACAAGGATCACCACTCTCCCATAGGTCTCTGAACTATAAAGCAAAGAATTGATTTAACAAATACCCAAGGGTGGTTTCTTAGAGGCGAGAGCAAATGTTATGTTCTTTGGTATTCCTTTATTTTTTCCCTCAAGTTTATAGAAATGAAACAACAGAACTTCTATGTAGAAAGAGATTCACATGAAAAAATTACTCTTAAAAATAAAAACTGAATAAAATTTCCATTCTTTTACATTTATTTCCACCCATCACTTAAGGAAGAAGGTGTAAAGACCCATTACTACAATTATTCCATTCCTGAGAGCCTATTAAAGAGAAGGGTGCTTTTCAGAATATGTTGGATGGAAAGATAATCTGAACAATTTGTTGTGTGCACACTATGTTTTAGCCTGTAATTACCCACAATGAGGTTTCTAAACCTTATAGCATGGTCCAAAGGATTCCATTTTTAGATCTCTACTTTACTGAAAACAATTGTCCTTACATAAATACTTAATTTAGAATAAATGTTGCATTGTTATTATGTGATTCCTTTCGATCAAATTAGGATTTCCAGGCTATACATCCTTAGAATGTATGTAAACAAGAAAAATCATAAATAAATACAGCAACATTAGATAAGAAGAAGAATAAACCAGCATTATAACAGGCCTCAGAACAGGACTAAAAGAGTTAGTTTTTCCCTAAAGCCAATTATTTCTTATATTTGGCTCACAGTCCTCTTAAAGTGACATCTGATTTATTTTTAAAATGTACATAGAAGTATATATTGCAGACACTCCTCCAACTCCACCAAATTCTACCGGTTTAAACATTTTCATTAAAGCTAAATCCTAAAACACCTTCTACTTCAAGAGCAAAATTATAGTTTTATTTTCTTTAAAACACCACTTAAGAAAGAGAAGGAAAAAATTGTAAGACAGAGCAGGAAAAACTAAAGGAAAGTGGTATGAAGTGGAATGGCCATTTTATATGAGGAAAAGGGTGAATGACGAAATAAAAAGAAAAATGTGAAGAATGCTTTTAAAAAGTCCCTATGCGTGATACATGGTGCTATGATTTGAGAACTGTCATGTCATCCAATGAAATGAACACGGGGGTAAACGATAGCTTGTGTCAGGTCACAGTGCATCGGAGCGGTCCCGTGCTCTCTGTAGGTACTGCAGCAGTCCCAGAACCAAGAGATAACAGCGGTGCTTGCCTTAGAGAAACTATGAACATCCATGATGACTTCTGCTTTTATCATTTCACTAAAACTATAAATTGAGTAGCAATCAATATTCCATTTTAAAGATAGAAAAGCTAAATTAAATATAATCTGTTTAAATAGGGAGGGCAAATAACATAGTGGTTACCTGATTAAGCGCCAGAGTTAGAATCCCAAGGTTTGAAATCTTAGTTGAAGCAATTAATTAGATATATAGGGCCAGGGGCAAGTTACTTAACCCCTGCAAGCCTTGCTTTCTCTTACCAAAATAGACTTAATCCGAGTGCCTAACGGATGGGGTAGTTCTAGATAGTTCAGGAGAGAATGCACATAACCACACGTACCACAGTACCTGCCGCATAACTAGCACTCGAAAGATGTTAGTTAGCCAGGAACATACCAACGAAATCAAAAATGGCCCGTGATCATGAAAAATTCAAAACTACAGGCCTCCAGACTCCAAGGACGTGTTTTAATCAGAACTGCTGCCTCTCTTGTGCGGCATTCCCCTCACAGAGCGAGGCACAGGCAGGTCGAAGGAAAGGCAGCACAGTTTCGCTCACCGTGACCGTGTGATGGACACCGCACCTCATTCTCAAAATGCAAGATGGTGTTTTCTCTTACAAAACGTTCAGGAATGAAACTGTGATTACCACTGCAACCAGGCATTAAGATCCTTTTATAATTATATATTAGGAAACTAGGTGAAAGGCACGAAGAGAACTCATAATTACTTTCAGTTTCTCCATCGACTCCCTGGAGAAGGTTTTACAAGCTGCATCAATTTCCTTTCCTATCACACCAAGAATGGATTCTTGTTCAGTCTCTAGACAAAGAAGTTGATCCTTGAGTTGCAATCTGGCCTCTTCCATCCTCCTTAAGTGCTCTTCTTCGGTGCTTATATGTTTCTCCTAAAGCATTCATAAAAAATAGAAACAATTATTCAGCAGAGGCAATAAATGCCTATAATACCTATACAACCAAGTCAAACAACTGTATTAGAAAACAGACCTAACCCTGTGAGTCCCTTTACTAAAACAAAACATTCTGCCTGCTTGTTAACCGAGGTCAAATTATAGAAAATTCACATGTAGGGCATTGAGGGAACTGGTGTGTGGATTCTTGATGAAGAAAACTATAGTTAATCTGTAGCCAAAATAAACAGTTGAAAAAAATCCGTTAACATTATAATAATTAAATGTCATGAATGCATCAACAAGTAAAAGCTGATACTACAAACTGACTTTGGGCTTTCAACAATTAGTAAAACACTGGAAAATGCAGTATGTCAAATAAGATAGTATCAGCTCCTTCATTTCAGAAAAAAATAAATGTTACTACCTTTATCTCATCAAAACATCATTTTGAAAAAGTCTAAGTTTTCAAATGCAGTCATACTGCATAAATGCTTCGAGTCATGAAAACCTGATTAAAGCAAGATGGAGGCACTTTTCAAAGAAGCAAATAGTACATTTAATAAAAAGGGATTTCTAAGGAACCTTGTAAGAAATTATAAGGGCTTGGGGGCCCCCTGTAGGAAAAACAATTTTCAATCATGATTACACAATTTCATTACTCGAGACATTCAAGTTGTACTGCACAAGGCTTGGAGGAGAAAAACAGAATCACTAAAACTCTAAGGGCAAACAGGGGACCAAAAAGTCACAATGGCTGGCTACTTTCGCCTTCAGACATCTCATAGTAGCCTAATCATCTTTACCTGCCCTAAAAAATACAGCACAAATAGGAAGATTATGGAGTCAACAAACTGAGCTTGAATTTAAAATAACAGATCTGCTCAATTCAAAATCATCAGGAAAAGTAGAATGGTATTTTAGAAAAATGACACATTTCCTTTTAATTCAACTTACTTTTAAAAACGAATGAAACACCCTCTGCCCAAAAGAACAGCCTTTCACAGCCTGTCTTCTGCCCTTCTCTCCAGCTTCCTCGCCCTTCTCTCCACTCTCTCATATTTTAACACCTTGCAGCTTTTCAAATATGCCTACAGGTGTCTCCTCTGACCAATCTGATGTGTTCAACTCTGCTTCGAGTTGCACTATTTCAAATGAAGCTGGTAGCCAAGAGATAGCCTTTGTCTCGATGAGTACATCATCCTGGCCTGGATTTCAGCTTTGTAAACTTAGGAACCGGATTTTCTTTTCAAGTCTCAGAATGGAATTATCTTTTGGCAGTAGAGTAACATTAAGTTCACAAGACACTAATGTGCAAACTAGAAATGCCCCTCGGTTAACTACGTTTGTTTGCACTGACAACCATAACTGCCATATGGATCAGAATGCTCATATCAGCACAGCCAGTACCTTTACGCCCTATAAACCAGTCTAGATGGGAGGGTAAATTACAATCAGAAGGTAACTGAGTGAACAGGAAATCGGAGCAGGGAGATTTGTTTTATGAAAAATGTTTAAATGGCATCATGCTAACGGCCGCCTGGTGTGTCCATCTACACATCAGGGATTTACAAACTACAATAATTACAGGAGTGCTCCATCCTCCTGCACAGTGTTTGAGTGGAGACAGCCACAGTCCATCTGCCTTTCTGCTTCATCCATATTCAGATTCTGATGAACTCTGATTCTTGATTGATACAGCATTTCTTTAGATATATCAATATCTTCACTAAGTCTTGATCTCATCTAGAAGCCTTCACATCCTGGCTCTGCATGGCATTTGATTATTTTATAGATTACTTACCAGAGAGCAACCTTACTGTCAAGTCTCTGGTGAGGACCCTTGCCTCTGGACTGTTTCTTTCTGCCTACCGCAAGCACACAGCTGGACACCGGCTGACTCTCGGCTACCAGCCCCTTTCCAAAGAGTGCAACTTCAGCAGTTGTACACACCAGACTGGTAGAAGGAGACACATGTGGCATACCTGCCACCTACACTTCTTATCCTTTAAAGTGCATCCTCGAGACTCTTTTCTTTCTTAATTGCCCAATATGGAATGTCTCCACGGCACATTATTTATATCTTAGTTTTAAAAAAGGTACCAAACTGTAATAGAATTGTTTTTGCTCCTGTCTCCTTCAATAAACTGCTTATTTCAGGAGGCCACGGAACATATTTATATTTATCTTTAAATTCGCCAACTTTGCCCCATTTCAGTGATTCCCACACTGTAAAGGCCACTTCCCGAACGACCATGCAGATCTATACACGCAGAGGCTGCACAGGTGTGTCAGAGGTTTCCTCACCATATGCACGTACACAGGTCCCTAGCCTGCTGTGGTGTTCTCACTGGTGTGATGTTAACAAAGAAAACTTCCTATCAGGGGTTACTGATGTACTTAGAGGACAACTGCTCATTATCTGAATGCAGGCAATTCCCAATAGTGTTCTAATAGACCGTTCTGTTCTCTCTGACTCATGGCCATCTTTCTTTTATCCACTATCACTTTTCTGTTATTTGACTCATTAATAAGACAAAACTATCTCCATAGTTAAATATTCTTAAAATGTTAATAATGTCATAAAAAGCTCTACCATTCAATTTCTTTAGCAAAGACTGAAAATTTCATTATCCACCATGAGACAATTAGCATGCTATGCCTAATCTCCCTTTGAAGTAAAACTCACAGGGACCTCAGAGATCAGCAGGTTCAACTACCTGTTCTTTCAGAAAGCCCTTCTTTTACGTTTCTGACAGAAGGTAAGCCGACCCCTACACAACCAGCTGAAGTTTCAAGGAACAGAATATTTGACAAAACTGTAAAATCTCTCATTAGTCTAAGTGCTATACTCAAGAGTTAAAGTAAATAAATGAATACTCCACCCCTACCAAATCTTCTAAGATTCCAGATCAAGTTCTATGTTCTTTTATTTAATTAGGTTTCAGATACTGCACCATACCAGTTTTCCATCTTCTGCATATGCTCTAAGACCATAAATTTAAGAGTTAAGTAAGCTTTTCCATTCTGTACTTAAGCAATTTTAACTTCATTTATTCATGCATTCAACAAGTTTTTGTGGGAGGCCTACTTAGGTGAGACATTCTCCTGGGCTAGGGGCAGAATGACTGAGAGAGGTTAAGTCCCTGCCCTCACAGAGCCAACGAATATCTCCATTAAATATCATCCATTTGGTTTTGCTTGTGGCTTCAGAATACCTATTTGTATACTAATTGTGACACGCAACAAATTAGCTCCTTCTCTCTTCAGTTTCTCATTTCAGAAATACCTCTACCAATAGAGCGAGCATAGCTGATTCTATGGAAGAGGTGGGGAACTGGCTGATACTGACCCAATCGTTCTGTCTGAGTTGGAGACAGAGAGATTAATAAGGGCAGATGAGACTATTTAGATGCTGTGATGGCTATTGCCTGAGCTTCCAGTGAATTCAAAGGGAGCAATAATTTTACAACAAAAAAACTACCATATTTCTAGAGACCCAGAGGTAGGACAAGATATTTCAGAGACCGTTTGGAAATGTGGAAGACACAGTTAGTCTGACTTCAGTGTTTCAGCATGAATGGACACAGATGCGTGGGTCTGGGGAATACAAGGAGCTTCTTTGCAAGGACAGAGATAGATCAAGCTGAGCAAAGCCATTTGTATAATCCAAGAAGAAAGATACCCTAGATCATGGTTGAATGTGAATTAGAGAATAAACCCTTAATTTTACAAATGAGGAAACCAACGTTCAGACAAACTAAGTAACTTAACGAAATTCAATGACTCTATAACCCATAACCTGGTCTTCTGACTCCCTGAATAGTGGTCTCTGTTAAAATGCTAGAAAGGTCATTTTCACAAAGTGGAGTTTAGAAACCCAATGTGAAAAACTCAGAAAAGTTATCAGCAGGTTATGTGGGGACTAATACAGCCTACAAGTAGAAAGAACAACAAAAAAAATGATTCTGAATGAGCCTCATTGTTAGAAATGAAAATATGATACATCTGCAAATTCTAAATAGACCACAAAAGAGGAAAGACCTCATCAAGCACACACAATGTCTTAAACTTTCAAAGGCTACCCTTCCACACTGGAGACACACCCTATGTGCACATTAAATCTGCTCTTGGCAAAATTTAATTAGTAAGTATATTAATCACGCACTGAGTATGTGCAGGTCCACCATCAAAACAGCAAGGACCTGGCTGGTGTAGCTCAATGGATTGAGCACGGGCCTGCGAACCCAAGGAGTGCAGTTCGATTCCCAGTCAGGGCACATGCCTGGGTTGCAGGCCGGTTCCCAGCAGGGGACACATGAGAGGCAACCATACATTGATATTTCTCTCCTTCTCTCCTTCCCTTCCCCTCTAAAGATAAATAAATAAAATATGTTTTAAAAAGACAGCAAGGGTTTTATGAAGTTTCCATTTCAGGACAAGAAAGGCTTATATTATTGACATTTATTTCTAAAGGAAATAAAAAAGTATACTGCTCACATTTTCATCCACACACACAGACACTGTTGACTGGCTTGATCAACGGACCTATAATTCAGAGAGTAAGAAAAATACTCCCCTAATTATATATCGTGTCCCAGAACACTCTTCACAACTCAGAACATTCACTCGCCCAAAGGCTGTAAAGATTATAAGGAGACATGATCTTAATGGAAATAGAGTAAATTCAATAAAACTAGACCATATCCAAAATGTTATCTCCTTGGTAAAGCTTATGAGATTTCTTCCATGTCTTAAGAGTTCAGAAAAGCCGCTTTATTTCCATTATGGTTATTACATGAAATGAAAATAATCCTTCACACACCTTAACAGAAACATTATGGTAAATAAAGCACACTCACACAACAAAATAAATCATTAATTTCCAAAGTTAAGGTTTTTCCATTACAGAAAACTAACCTGAATAACCAAGTATGGCAATATTTCAGCCCCAAGACCATCTTTAATACATCAGCAGGGGCTCGGAGAGAAACAGG